GGCAGCTGTGTGTGAGCGCGTGAGCGTGCGTGCATGTGGGCAGCTGTGTGTGAGCGCGTGAGCGTGCGTGCATGTGGGCAGCTGTGTGTGAGCGCATGAGCGTGTGTGCGTGCGTGCACACAGGGCTTCTCTCTGTAGGGCGCTAGGCGCCAGAGGCCCATGCCAGTGGCCTTGTCGTCCCCTACGTCCAAGCGAGGCCACCGCTGACTCGCGGGCTAGGACTCAACAATGCATTTGGCGGGGGACAGGTGATCCCAGGTGATCCCAGAACAGGACTGTCAGGGGGCTCCCTGGTGGCGCAGGGGCTAAGCCTCAGCCTGGGGAACTGTCTCCAGCCACCTCGGCCTGAGTCCGGTCCCGGCCAGGGAGTGACCCCCAGGGCGCAGCAGACCCTCTGTCTCCCCGCTGCCCCTCAGCAGTGGGTTTCAGTGGATCTGCCTGTTCTGCTCCCCAGTCTGTCTCTGGGGAGTCCCCTCACCCCCCCGCACCTCTGGCCCACACCCCAGCTCTTGTCTGTGTAAATAAATAAGAATAAATCTTAAAAAAAAGGAACAGGAGTTTCCAGCTCCCAAAAGAGCTTCTCGTGCTGGGGTGTGGCCTGACTCTGACTTGGGCCTGGGGGAGCCAAGGGGAGCCCTACTGAAAGGTGCTGGTGTACCCCTGAGCAGCCCCCAGGGAGCCTACAAATTGGCTCTGCTCCAGCCCAGGGCCATCGCTCCTCCGTCTGATGCCCCTTGCTCCTCCCTAGCGCCAGTCCCAGCTGACACACCTGCCTGTTCTGACCCCAGGCGCGGTGGTCCTCGGTCACCTGTCCCTCTGCCGCATTGCCTAATTATTTGAAGTGAGTGTACATCTTGGCTGCAAACACTTGGCAGAACTTGCCTTTCCCAGGTCAAGTGGCAAAGCTGGCAGAGTGTGATAGGAGGTACATGCCAAGGTGCCCGCTGGGGGAGAGGGCAGGCTGGCAGCCTCACACCAGGGCAGCCTGCGGCCAACAGGCCCTCAGGAGGACCGGCCGGCCTCTCTCCTGGAGGCACTGACGGTGGACGTCAGGGGCTGGGCCAGGGGCCTCCGCAGACGGATTCCCCCAGAAATGAGCAGGGCCGTCCCTGCCGGGCCGTCCCCACAGCGACCTGTCTGCTTCCGACACAGCCACTGAGAGGGCCCGGGCCACCAGGAGGAGCCTTCTGAGTGTCCCCTACGGAGCCGGGGAAGGGGAGACGCTGGACATCTACCTTCCTGAGGACGAGTCTGAGGGTAAAGGGGTCGAGGGAGGGACGCCCGCCCCGC